AAGATAAGAATCAAATAAATTGTTCAAAAACTTACCACTCAATCTTTTATACTCTACGCATATTATTCAACTGACTTACTTAAGAACAATAATAGTCTTTGCACACAAAGGATGCCATTTTATAAGAGAAACAAAATATGTATAAACGTTGCAATGGTACGAATAGTTACTTTATCTTTAACGAAATAGAATATAATTTCTATATGTGCATAGAAGATGCTCTTGGAATAGAATAGCTTGAGAGAAATTACTAAATATTTTCTATGCAATAACATGCATACAGCAGGATTTCTGACCTTAAAGATAATTTTGAAAAACCGAATGTACATACACTTCATATTTATTATCAGTAATTCTACTGTTACTTAAATCTTTTTTAATATTAATACAAGAAACAACTTAGATTAAGGTTGCCAAGAAATTTTTACAAAAACGTTGCACAATACACTTAAAATAAATTTACATGCATTATAAACAACACATATACCAAAGAGTATTCAATACAAATATAAATGAAGTAGAGGAAGTTGCTAAAATTTAAAAATAAAAATAAGCAAATTTTATTATAAATTTTTATAAATTTTGTAACAATATAAATTTTAATTACGATATAATAAAACGTTACATGAAATAAATAGTATGTATGAGACGCCATTTGATTGGTATCTAAGTTCGTTTATCTCAATTAGGAGTGTACGAAGAAACGGCCTAAAAGGACGATGTATACGATTTTTCAGGGAACTCAGATGCAAGAAGTAAGACAAGAGGGTCAAACAAGGAGTTATCAACCGCCGGAATCTTACGCGTAAATATCTACTTCATAGCATCGCATGGTGAACCCACAAATTGATTTACTCGATAAAATCGCAATTTCTCCGAAGGTCGACGTCAGCTGCAGCGGCGCCAAGGACGACGAAGATCGATGAAGAGAAGAGTAAGTCCATCTCAAGGACTTATCACACAATTAAGGACATGATATCCAGTCGTTTTGGACAGAGCCGTAAGGACGTTGAACCGGAACCAGAGGCGAGCTTGAACAACGTCACGGAGGAGTTAAGGAAATCCAGCAGGAGCATCGATGAGGAAGAGGCTAAAAAGAAGGAAGGAATTTATGGAAAACCGCGGGCACAGGAGCCCACCGTTAATATGCAGCAGTATCCGAAAAATGCTTGTGGTAAATTTCTTATAAAATTGTTTCACATAGTCTTTAAAATCTTAATGTATGAAGGAAGATTGTGTCTTTTCAGCAATGACTTTTTCGAAAAAGAAAAGAAAGTTGGTTTTAACCCTTAGCGTACCAAGGTGAAGTCACTCAGGGACGTCAATACATGTTTTCTTTTCTGTTTTCGATAACACTGGTCTACAAAATTTTACTTTTTTTTGTCACATAAGGTTTAATACGTGATTTTAACAGTATTTTTTTATGCTGAATTCATATATGCAATCTATTTGTTTCCATCATGTAGGAATTGTGTGTGACACACAGTTTAACCCTTTGAACTCCAAATTTTCTTTTTAATTTTCTTTTCAATAACTCCCTATTATTTTAAGAATTTTATTTGGAATGCACTTCGAAAGACATTTGGTTGATAGGAAGCAATTTAAACAATTTTTTTTACTAATTATATTGAAAATAGCACTAATAGTAAAAAAAATATTGCAAAATATAGCACATATTTAAACTGGCAATTTAAAAATTACTTCATTCATACCTGTGAATAAAACTGATGTCGAGTCACACTCGACAAAGGAGTCCAAAGGGTTAATATTCAATAATTCGTATGATTCTATATACTTAGAAGTTGTAAAACCACCTGAAATGTGGTACTTACTGATTTCCTGAAATTATTTACTATTGGGATTTCATTCTTCCGAATACACAAATTATATTCACCCTATGTATTTCTACTATTATTGATAAAATAACTGTGAATTTAGTTATTATTAATTAATACAAAGCATTATTACACAAAAACTATGAGTGATGGAAAAAATCTGATTACAGATTCGAATTCAGCATCGAGAAATACACGAGAATTAGTGTATAAATATCCTATGTGACAAAAATCATGTTGATCGATGTAATTATTAGAAATACATTGCCAGCAATTTTTCTATGTGCTTCATTATTAATTCCGGTAAGTAGGAACAGAAAGAGCCAAAATCAGCTAAAATTATTTTTGGAAAAAAATTAATAATCCCAAGGAAGTTCTGCGCGTGTGTCAGTTTCCTTCCTTTTGCTGTTTTCGGTAACTAACGAGTTGGTATTGCATCGAAACAGACTCATAGCATTGTGTGAACGATAAGTGTCTATGCTTGAATAAATAAGAGTGAGTGATTTATAAATATTTCTTAGAAACTGTGATCGAATGCATCTGGAGTAATTGTACATAGTAGGACTCACGCGATAAATAAACATTTTTAACAAATAAAACTCACGAGTCTTCGTAGTATTCTCATCAGTTTCTGTAGGGACATTGTTATGACAAAAATACTACAATACAAACTAAAATAACAATAAAAAAACTGAGTCTTTCAAGGACCTGTCTAGGTACAGAACGTCGATCATCCCACTTTAGTATGCTAAGGGTCAAAATAAGGGACGATATCATCTCAGAAAAATTTACTCGCAATTCCCTTCATTTGTTTATCAACAAATCGTTTTAAACACTGAAATAGGTTATCACCAGCAAACCTGACCATTTCAATTCGTTCATTATTTTTCAGTCCATTTTTCACTTGTCCTTACATTTTAAGCCTGATTTGATTCAAAAAACACTTGTTCAAGTAGTATTTTTCTTTTAATAAAAGGACATTATTACATACGACAGTAAGCACCCTTTTCAACTTCGAATATTTATTTAATCTCTCGGTTAAAAAGGAGATATCGCATACAAGATGCTAGTATAATACATATTTAAACATCGTTGAATCCCCTGTTCAGTTCTGCTATTAGTATCTTCATTTTCCATGGAGAACGTAACGTAGTGCTCAATTTCTCGGAAAAGGCGAATGAAATACAACTTAAATAGTCTTTAAAGTGAATGTATTGCGAATATCGCAGTTTCAGAATTTCAACGTTTAACGTAAATATAAATGGAAAACGTAATGCAAGGGGTTGAAATAAATGTGGTATTTCGTTTATGCAGGTTGGTACATACCTTACTGTAATAGTTCGACCATTAGCAGGCAAAAACGAATATTACAGGGACTCAAGGTTAACCAGCCATTAATTAATTCTCAGATAACGGTTAATTAGTCGAGCGGAAGCTAATGCAAGCTGTAAAATGACAAGGTTATAGACACAAGGTATATGTGCATATATCGAGTATATCGTTTCAACTACTTCACTTCCTAGGTAATTACCGTTTCCTTTGCTTATGCGTTACAGTTTATTGCCATTCACGGGAACTGCTATTCTTACTCGCTTCATGCACCGTGTCGAACGATGAACTTTCTACGATATATGCGTTAACTTTTAATTCATTCTAGAAAGTAGTCGACGAAACGTATATTTCAATAGTTTTCAACGAGTTAAATATCTCGACGGTATCGAGTTTACTGTGTTACGTATGTAAACATGAAGTCGGTCGATCGCCAGTTTTCAAGATTCTGATTTGCAACTGTTTGTTCGATTATGTCACTTATAACGTACAATTACAGTTTTATGGTTCTTTTAATTTATCATGGAAACGGAACTATTCGATGTTTCAATAAACTCGCAAGATATCTTATGTCATAATTACCATTTCTTGGTACCAATTTTATTGCTCTTTAAAAAAAATTTAAACTACAATGTATTCTCCATTATTGTCATGTATATTCTTGTAGAATTTTTTTCCATTTATATGACAGCTTCTTGGTAATTCCCATCACGAAAAAGTTGACTTGTTTGAATGTAATTGTTTAACGAACTTCCAAACTGGATTATTCTTCGCGAAGAATTGTCAATTTCAGATATTTTCAAGAGGGTCAAACGAATAGTAATTGGCATGGGAATAGGGGTGGGATAAAGCAAACATGAAATTACCATCTTTCTTGAGTAATGAAAGCGTATCCTTATAATTGACAAACGCTAGTCGTTTTATTGCAATTTGTCTTACACTTTCCTCAATTGTTGGATATAAAGGGTGATTCGGCTAAGTGTGCCGCCTAAATTACTTGTAAACTCTTGGTTATATGAAAAAATGGTTTAAACGATGTAATAATTAGTTTATACTGCTGTTTCACTCTCTTGTCGAAATATAAAAGTCAGTTTGAATTTTTCAATGGTAATGGTTGAAATCTGAATAGAAAACTATTAAGGTCCAAAAACTAGTAATTACCGAGATGTTATTCTTTGAACAAATTTTTAATGTAAGTGATGACTTTCTTCGAACAATCTTATCCTATACACAACTTATTTAAAATATATCATTCCATTATTCATAGACAAAAATATTATGATCATTTTGCTCGCCTTGAATTTCGTTCCATTGAAACGTCTTCTATTTCAACTTCCACAATCTTCCGATTACTTAACCCTTTCGTTACCATTGGCGCCTATAGGCGTTTTGAAAATTTGCTCGCACTACATTGTTAGAGTCTTTTGGTGCACTTCCATCTTAATTTAGTACCTAATTTGATCCTTTACGCACTTCCATTTTAATTTAATAAACCGAATTTTAAAACTACTCTACTAAAATATGAAATTTTGCAGCCGTGGTTGAAAATTTACCGTCAGTCAACCACGTTGTGCATTAAAATCTGCCGTAGCGAAAGGGTTAATACTTCTAATTTTACCGTGTATAATAATACGCATAATAGTTGTTCACTGTACATTTCTACTAAACTTTTCCAAATATATCTTTTCAACTTATACCCAATTATCTTCTTCACGATTGTACAAAGTCATGCACTCGAAATGAAAATATTCCGCTTATCTGTTTGACCTATTGAAAGATACTTCACAGCATATGTGCATATTAATAATAATACATCTGATACTGAAACTGTGCAATACTAGCTTATGGAACAACTACTGTACGATTGTGTAAAAATGTTCTTTTGTAGGAACTAAGTTCGCCTTCCGATGTTAAATAATATTTAAAATTGACCTTTACCCTTTCGCTACGGCAGATTTGAATGCGTAACGTTGGTGACTGAAGGTAAATTTTTAACCACGAAGGCAGAATTTGTTATTTTGGCCGTATCGTTTTAAAATTCGGTTTATTAAATTAAGGTGGAAGTGTGTAAAGGAGAAAATTAAGCGTTGAATTAAGGCGGAAGTGCACCATAAGGCTCCAACAGCAAATTTTCAAAACGCCTATAGGCGCCAATAGTAATGAAAGGGTTAAGTACTGTTGTTTAACATCGATGAAAACAAGTCGAAACTATGAAAAGGTATTATCGCACTTTTTGCTGTCAACGATATTTATGTAACATTTCGACGGTTTAGGTCAGTACGGGCACTCGTATAGCTACCTGAGTAATCAGCAGAACGTATCGCTTCCTGGGCAACTTCAGCCAACATCACAGATTCAACCCAATTTACCAGGTCAAAGTGCTCAGCTTCATGTGACGCATCATACTCCACCTGCAGGAGTTCAGACTGTCCATCAAACACAAGTTCCTCCTTTCGGTCAATCAGCGACAGGTGGCCAACAGGTGCAAAATGTTGCAAGGGAATACGTTGTCCAGGGCTCGTCCGGATTGCCAAATCAGCAACTGCATCAGGGACTTCATCAGAATCCTCAGAACCAGGTAATCTTCGTAAAGCACCCTTTAGCAGGTAGTTTTCTTTTTATTTCGAATAATTGAATCGTCTTGCCGAGTTTAAAGTACAATAGAGCCTCCCGTATCCGAATACCTTAACGTCCTATTATTCGAACAGCCGTTTCGTCGCGATATTTACATACATACAATCTTACGTACACTTTCCTGTATTCGACCGAACAAAAAGAACGTACATAACTCTGCACAGTCGTTTGTGTTAACCCTCGGAAGGCGAATGACTTTAGACAGCAAAATTTCTATTGTACACAGGTTTCAAAAAGGAATCGTGTATAAATGCGTATACTTTCAACTATATATATTTTATATTTTTCTTGTTTATTTACATTTGACCATAAATTTTACCAAACGTAATCTGAACCGCCCGGTTGAGTCAAAATGGCTCTGCATTCGTCGTACGAGGGTTAAGGAACTTATGCGACTTAGGGGCCGAAAAGATATCGGATCCTTAGATATTGAAACAACGTGTCAACTTTCTATTGGAATGAATAAAGTTTAATATAAAAAGTAAGTGATTTTTCTATTATCATATTCACATATTCGGCCACTTTTGTCTCCCTATTAGCACGCATACGGGAGGCTCTACTGTACTTTCAACGAATTTCAAGAGTACGCATGAAAGCTATTAGGATGAAAGTACGATACTTTGTCGTTTCGTGGTTTATTGTGAAATATATAGTAATAATATCTAAGAATAAAGTATATATAAATTACCATATCTCAATTATTGTTACGTCCGTAACGCATTCTCGCGACGATCTTCTGTTCGCGAGGGAAAGAATGCAACAAAAACTTTACCAAAGTAATCCAAATAGCTCTCTAAAGTTAGTGAGGCATTTGCAAACAGTGCACATCCAGGGCCGCCCAGGGCCAGTGCAGTAAAACGAGCATGAACCAGGCCGCGACACTCGAAAACGCACAAATCCTCGAAGACTTGGCCTTCGAGGGTTTCTAAATGGCCATCGAAGTGTCGCGGATGGCCCTTGTCTCCGGCGCTTTCGTCGGAAATTCGTTGCACCTAGACTTTGTCAAATACGTGTTACTGGAGGGAAATGACTTGGAGACGTTCGGGAATTTGCTCATATTTCCTACTCCGAGGACAAAGGGTGGTAGTACGCGTTTAAAAATGTCGCGCCTAACGCGAACGCTCAGGTAGTAAAAAGTTCTCGATCCTAAGGATACATTCTATCAGCACAGCGTAATTTTGTCCACTATCGAAATCCTGTATCCCAGGATAAATTCCTTAACCCTTAGCGTACGAAGTGAGGTCACTCAGGGCCGTTTCATGCCGTTCAGTTACTGTTGAAAATGCACTGCTTGGTATTTTCTTCTGACTTATTATCAATTCCGGGAAATAAAAACAGATTGAAACGAGAATTGGTTAACCCCTTGAACTGCAATTTATTTCCAGGCAGCAATTTAATTTTCTTAGTTTTAAGAGGAGGGATTGATATAGAAACTTACGGTTTTGTTGTAAAAATAATATTTGTTTCATACATTTACATGAACACGTAAATGTGTAAGATTCAACACCTCCGAAAAAATATACGACTAGTAAAATAATCGCTATTGCACTTCATTAGTGTGACGTGTCGTGCATTTACTTTACGCGATACTGGCTGCATAGATTTATACAAATTACATTCAAACTGTTACTGGAAGCATGCAAACAAATGTATCAAAGCAAAAGACTCACTATGACATATACTTCTCGTATAAAAAGCTTCAACTCTCGATAATTTCTGGCCAGTGCAGCTCGTCATTGTCAGTTTTGCTCAAGAAAGTTCATGACGAGCTGGACTCGTCATTTCAGTTCAAGGGGTTAAAATTGTTTATAGAAACAAATTGAAAACCTCCGTGAAGGTTTGTATGATTTTCGTGTTTTACGTTCTTGTACTTTACGCACTTTTCAGTAGCTGATGAATTGATACTATGATTGCGTCGAAATAATAACACTGTGTGTACGATGTTTGTGACTAAATAAACGAGGGTGAGTGATTTATGTGTGATTTATTCTGTTCATTTTTACTTGTTTGTATTACATATTTTTGTCATTCTTATTTTGTGCACATTATTAATTGCTGTAGCTTATTTTCTAGAGAAGAGACTACAGATAAATAAATATTTTTAACAAATATTACTCACGATTTTTGGTAGTATTTTCATTAAATTTGAGAAGAACGTGGAAATAGCAAACAATAGTACAAAACAAACTGAGATAATACTAAAAAACCGTGGGGTCCTTTAAAGACCCCGATTGGTAAAGAACGTCGATCATTTCAGCTTGGTATGCTAAGGGTTAAATGATTTGATCCAAAAGTATGCAACATCTCATTTTTATATTGCCAAATAAACGATTGTATCGTAGATTTCGCTTTAAATATATTAAAATAGATTACTTTCTCAAAATTCCAAATTTTCCTGTCTGTACATTCTTTTTATTTTTTCTATGAAATGTTTCTGATTTAATGTTCCATTTTGAAAATTTTACCTAAATAAAAGATTCTTTAATAATCACCTACTTATCAAATTAAAATTGCCAAGAACGTACTAGTGAACATTAAAATGATTTTGGAAAAAATTTCTAGTGTTTTTCTCTTTCTTTGGGGAGTGCCAGAGTCTCTTGATCGATACCTGCAAATACTAATAATTAAAAGTAACCAATAGCGCATATGCAACGAAGTGTCAAAATCGATTTTCTCGTGAACTAAATATAAAATGAAAAAATTCTGCACCTTTGATTTCATTATGTACAAGGAATCATCTCCTTTCCACATGAACCGCTACCTTAGCCGTGCCATTTCCTGTTAAAGCTACGTTTCTCCTTGAACTAATTGAAAAATATATTTATAACAGAAGACGCTAGCTTAGGATTATGCTTCAGATCAATGCTCCTGAAACGTTAAACAGCTTATTTCCTGGCCACTGTTGATCATACGTTTCAAATATTCAATGAACACACTTTTCCGAGAACACTTTGACGTAGCTTGTTCGCGGAGACACTTTTAAGTCCACTTACTTCGTCAGTTCTTCCTTCTTACGAAACCTGCCGCACAGAAATTCCCCTTGGAGCAAGAGGTAATTGAAATGTTTCCGATACACGTCGAATAAAATCGCCGATGTTTATGTCCAGTGCACGCAGTAGAAAGGTTATTCTTATATAAGGAAGCGTAACATTTCCCTCGTATAAATTCAAAAGGGGCCATAACACTCAAGCACCCGGTGTTTGTGATACATGTTCCATATTTATGCCATCTAAAATCGATCATGCGGTAGAGAATTCATCGTGTACACTACCCTCGAAATTTATTAGCATCCTAACGCAATATTCCTGGGGAAAAAAGGAAATTTCGATGAGAAGCCACAGATGAATTTTCGCAATTTTTAATACAACGGGTCACCACGGACAATTAGTATAATTGCGAAAGAATCGGGAGATCGCTGCCTGTGGCGTTTTTAATTAATACGTAAAATTAATGAGAATGCAAGAAATGCAAATTGTCTGCGCAAGCAGCGGGAGGAAAAAAAGTAAGAACATGCTCGCTTTTGTGCTCGAAAAGTAAGTAAATTAATGGCTGCATTACCAATGTAAGTGATAATAAAACACAGTGATTTATCATTGTTCATAATGGCACTGTATTTTCTAAGTGTTATTATTAGTTGCCATGAAACTTTCTTTGATGTTCTTATCACTAATATTAGTGAATATATTAGTATAGCCTTTTAAACCTTGTTATTTCCTATCATAAATTTTCTAATGCAATTTTCTTTGCACTCGAGAGGCGTCTAAGAAGCGACATTATATTTACCATTAGAGGCAACTCTAAAGATGATATTTTCCAAGACAGCAGGTCTATGGAGCTTAGAGATCTCAGCAGTGGAATAGTTTGGAAGAACCAACTTCTAATAAAAATATTAAAAAATGTAGAGGCAACTCTAAAGATGATATTTTCCAAGACAGCAGGTCTATGGAGCTCCGTGAATTGTTCACTACATGCTTAGAGATCTCAGCAGTGGAATAGTTTGGAAGAACCAACTTCTAATAAAAATATTAATTTTAAAAAATTACATTAATTTTTGCTATTTCCTTATAGAAAAAGGGGCCTTCGAGTGCTAAGGGTTAATACCGTTTCTATTTATCTATTCAAAAAACAAGGGATAAGATTTGCTATAAAATTTTAGGCATACCAAAGAAACTGAAATTCTTCCATCTTTTTGTCACGCAAATATCATATAATTTGGTAATTTATCATTGTTCATAATGGCTCTACATTTTCAAAGTATAATACAACTTAGGCACTCAAGTGTTATTACCAAGTGTGACGTTTAATGTTCCCATTTCCTCGAAGCCTGAAACTCCATCAACTAATATCGATATTCTTCAAACCAGGGTCAGAGCACGCAGCTGCAGAAGCCACACGGCCTATCTATGCAGCAGCATCAAGTAGGCAACGCGATGCAAACGGCGAATCAGAACTTCCAAAGTCCGCAACAGTTGTTACATCAAAACCAGAATCATCATCAGAGTCCGAGGTTTGCTCAACAGCACGCGCAAAACATGCATCAACGCCAATTGATACAACAAATGCATCAGCAGCAAATGGCCAGTCAGCAGAACACCCAAACAGCCGTGAGAAACGTACAACAGAGCTATTTCTCGAACAATGTGTCTTATCAGCAATATCAACAAGCTAGACAGAGTATGTCAAGGTCTCAAATCGATCTGCCCAGTACTTCGAGACAAACACAAGAGCTTAGGCTGTCGGGGCAGGAAGTGTACTATCATTACGCGCAAGGTAGACCGAGGTACGGAGTGCCTCAGGTGTATATGAAGACGGAAAGTAATCAGGAAGTGGAGTTTCAGCGACGGAACTCCACGAAGGGTATCGAGAAAGCTGCGTCCCAGCCGCAACTCTGTTACGAAGATGAGAGAATTAACGAACAGTCTAGAAATCCGATCGACGCAATGAAGGCACTTACCGTAGACCCTTTGGACAAGGAAAGGTACGAGATCACAGTGGAAGACCGTGGAACTGGGGAATTTCGAAGAAGCGATTCTCAGAGGAAAGATGAGTATCGACCTGAGACGAGCTTCGGTATTCGTAGAGATGACACTGTTAGATGTTCGAAAAGGGAACAGGAGCAGATAGGTGTGCCTGGCCAGGATAGTCAAGATTCAGAGGGAACCTCTGTGCAGAAGAGGATCGAGGAGTTGCAGAAACGGGCAGAAGAGAATCATTATAACGTGAAAGTGTCGAAGGACAGCGTGGAAGCAGATGTAGTGAGAAGTTCGTGCGGCTCGAAGATTGGAAACGGCGAGGGGTCGAAGAGACTGGAGAATCAATACGCAAAGGATTCCATAGTGAAATCAGAGGCGAGGAAAGATGAGCTGGAGCACGGCATAGGCCGATTGAAGATTCAGAATCAAGGATCTGGATCGGATTACGACAAAGCAGGCCAGAGTTCCTCCAATGTTGATTCCGGAAGGGGATCAGCTGTTTATTCCAGTGGAAGGCGGCCCCCGCCAGAAGATCAAACCCACCCTCCAGGTTTGGCATTTTCACTTTTTTCCATTTCTCTTTGCTACGATAAGTATCTTACGGCATTTCAAAGCACGAGGAATGCCTATTTTTCATGTCATGATTATGATATAGGTTGATTGCTTGTTCTTCAAATATTCGCTAGTGTTTTTATCCCTTCCATGTAAAATTTCCTGTTCATGCTATTAAGATATTCTTTCAATGTGTTGGCAAAATTGATTGCCAACGAAAGTATTTTCCTGCTACGAAGAATTTGATCAAATGACAGTTAGATAATAGGAGGTCAGACTTATGTATAGGGTAACATGGGCGGTACAACCAGGTAGAGGGTGATTTTACTTGTAGAAATAAACCTCAAAGTATAGAATAACATTTTTTCATCAAATGTTTTCGAGGAAATTAATAGAGCAAAGAAATAGTCTAGGCAAAAGGTAGTGTAAATCGTTTGCAACTAAAAGAAAGAATTATACAGGCTTTCGAATAAATTAAAACATCAAAACACCATGGCATTAATTCACAACTCTCTAATTCAAAATGCAAGGATTTGTATGCAGGGTGGTCCACGCAACTTCTTCACCCTGAATAATTTCTAAAGTATCCATTGTATGAAAAACTTTTTTATAGAAATGTGGTATAGTTTGGAGGGATACATTATGTAATGCATATATCTTTTTTTTTATGTGGAGGCGTTTCGGTCAACTTCGTTTTTTTTAATGAACTGCTACATTTTTTATGCCAAAATATCGAAAAGCGTTAAATTTTGAGTAAAAAGGTACTGACCTTTATTAGCCGTAAACTTAATAAATAACGAATAATTTCACTTTGTTTTTGATTAAATATTTTATTTTTTGTCTCAATGACTGCAAGTATTATGCAAAAATATGTTCAAATAAAAATTTCCACGGATAAAAAAAACTGATTATTTTTGTTTTAAGTGTACGTTAAGGGGTTTAAATTAGTATATACTTAAAGGGGTCTTCTACTGTGACGGCCATTTTTTTAGGCCTTCTTTGCTAATTTATTACAGAAGTACGGTAACAGTTATTAACATGAGCTTTATTCCTATGTATTTATTTGTCCTTGAAGAATCATTACAAATTTTTTTGTTGAAAAATAATTAAATATGACTGCTGTGGAACACGTCAAACAGGAGCATGGAAAATTAAAAAAATGGCGGCACTTTGAATACGAAGTATCGATTTTTTCGACTTTTTTCGTCTTTCAGAAGCTCCAAAAATCAGAAAAATGTATATTTTAGCATAATTCTACTACCGACTATAGCCACACATGTTTTGAAGACATGTGGAAAATTTGAGTTCGATTGGTTCAGTAGTTTTTGCCAGATCGTGGCAACCATTTCAGGAAACATGGTTCCGAAAAAAACGCGTTTAAAGTTTACAGTGCAATTTACATTCTCCCTTGATGTGTCACACTAAACGAGCTATAACTTCGTTATTTTATTGAATACAACTATAAAACTTCAGGAGTACATTCTTAAAGAGCTGTACTTTCGATATATGCAAAAAAATAAAAATCGATTTTTTGAAACCGTCACACTAGAAGACCCCCTTAAACTATGTGTGATTTGTGAAAATCTTCGATTAGGGTTACGTACAATGCAGTACTCTATGTAGTACTCTATGTAGTACTAGAAGTGAATCATAGATTGTGTAGGTATATTATATTCATGTTAATACTTTCTTCCAATATTAGTTACAGTCTACATCAGGTCATACTGTTTACATCTTTCTATCTTTAACAAAGTTTAGTGTGTAAACGTATAATTTAATGTAACAACTACTATAAATGTCACAGTCTGGAAAACATCGATAAATTTAACACGTTATAGTCTTTCGATGTTGCATGAACGATTTTTAAATGAAAAAAAAATATTTAGAAGAAAACCAAACGAATGGCGAAGCTTATTTGCAATAGCGCGAAGCCAAAAGATTGGATCAGATCTAACCGAGGTTGGATTCCAATTAAAGAATCGCAGATAAAAGTTAATAAGACTATTAGTAAGCTTGTAAATAAGTTGTGAATTTGAAAGTGTCCGGTGCGCTTGTAACGAAGCAATGTTAAGTAATTGCATGACAGGTTCGTAATTATGGTCGTAAATGGCAGTAGGAATTTGAACGTACTGTTTGGCCTTACGAAGTGATTACTATGCATGTATTTCACGTGGTTGTAATGTAGATTTTCTTTAATATAATTTAAAAAGTAATGCGTATGCATGATAACAGCTGAACAAGAAAAATCCAAGTAATTTGTAATCCTATTAATCTTTGAACGTTTACATTAAAAATACATTGTTAAACGTAACTCTATTAACGACGTGCACACGTAAATAAACTTTTGTAAAAGTAAATGATAGAGGATAATAACTCTAATTATCTAACGACATGATCAGGAAATAGTTCATAAATCATTGGAACAATTATCCTTTTAGTAAATGTTCTCCATTAAACTTTTATAAATATTTGATTTTATAAATTATAAATTTTAAATTATTATAAATTTTCGATATACCGTTACACTATCTGATAATATATCGGTATTTGATCAAGGTAAACATACGTATTTCGATCAATGCTTTGTTTTTTGAGATACACACGTATCATAATTTTTGGACATTATCTTTAAATAGTGGATACTTTCAAAGTGAGAAAATATAATGCGAAATGCGTTAAGACACAACCAAAATTCTATTCACCTTCTGTGCATGTCGATTTTGAATCATACATTTCGAATAATACAGATACATTTAATTTTCTTGTAAAATTTTATTTTGAGGTTCATATTTTCTTCTATATACATACATAGTATTACAGTTAATTATGTGTACATAGAATTCAAGTGACTTAATTTAATTAATGATGTTGATCAATAGGCGTGTCCTTATACTTTTCTAAAATAATGTTGACCCTTTCGCGACTAGCGCCGGTTATATCCGGCACCCACTAAATGCTTCACACTGGCTAGCGCCGGTTATATCCGG